CAGTCAAGTGCCTTAGGCACTACGCTACCAGAGCACCTTCACACGCTATATAAGGAAACAAAAAACCAAAACATAAACCCACTGCCGTTGAGTAGAATCCAACTCATAGCGACCCCTCCTTGGGTTTCTGAGGCCATATCACTACAGAAGTAGATTGCCCAACCTTCAATTTTTTCACCAAAAGACATGTAAAATAAGTTAAAAAAGAAAATATTTGTTCTGAGAGTCTGAGTCACTAATCAGCTCCAAGAGTGGACACTTGGTTATAGCTGATGCTGTCGGTGCCCCATCCATATCCATATTCTCTGTGCACTGACAGATGCAATATATGGTACAGCTTCCTTCTGCAGGCACCAGCGATGCTCTGCATGAGGACTTTCTTTCAGTGCTAACTTGGGGCAAGCCTGGAGTGGCAGAGAGTTGATGCTCTGGCAACAGCCCCCTGCTGAGCATGGATGGGAGTTGGTGGATAAATACACCAGCTGTCTGACCTTTTAGGTCAAATAACTCTGGGGTGTGTTCTATGTAGTCTTCCAGAAATCTCTAGTGGGATTGAGCCAACTGATATATGATACTGGTAGCTGGTGTGATAATATACCCTTTATTGGTTTCCTTTTTGTCACTGTCTCACTCCCCATTTCTCTGCCCACATTTTCTAGGATCACCTTCCAAACAGAGTATTTACATTTAAATTCTTACCTCACATTCTTAGACATTTACAATAATAATGACAGTATCTTTGCACTTAGTTTGGTGGAAAAGGGCATGAACCTTAAAGACAAAGCGACTTGGATCCCAACCATTGTAAGAATTTAACATTAGTTTTCTTATCTATAAGGAGTACTGGTGGCACAGTGTCTAAGGCATTTGCCTGCTAACCAGAAGCTTGGCAGTTCAAACCCACCAGCTGCTCCATGGAAGGAAAATAGGGCAATTTACTTCTATAAAGATTTATCATCTTGGAAACCCAATGGGGGTCGCTATGAGTCAGAATCAACTCGATGACAGTGAGTTTTATTTTCTTTTTTAGTTTTCTTACTGTAAAATGAGGGCAGTAATATGTACCCCATTGCATTAAATGAGATAATGGTTATAAGTAAAATGCCCAGCTCACAGAAAGCACTCAATAAAGCCTAATTAATTTCCCTTTTTCCAGAGTCCTCAATACCTTTCTAGTTGTCCCAGTTTCCTAGGGCTGCCATAACAAACACCATAGAGTTTTTGTTGTTGTTATGTGCTGTTGAGTCGGACCTGACTCATAGTGACCCCTCCTTGGATTACCAAGGTGGTATCACTACAGAAGTAGATTGCCCAACCTTCCTTCTGAGGAGTGGCTGGTGGGTTTCAACCAACAGCCTTCTGTTTAGCAGTCAAGTGCTTTAGGCACTATGCTACCATAGAGTGGGTGGCTTCAAAGAGCAGAAGTTTATTTGCTCACTATTCTGGAGGCTACAAGTCCAAATTCATGGCTTTGGCAAGGTTAGGCTCTTTCTCGCTCCTCTCCACCCCCTTTCTGTTGGCTATAGAGGAATATTCCGGTCTCTTTCAGCTTCTGTAGGCCTGGGTGTTTCCTGGTGCTCCCTGGCTTGTGATTTTCTGGGTAGCACTTGACTGCTACCCAGAAGGCTGGCGGTTCAAACCCACCAGCCACTCCTCGGAAGGAAGATGGGGCAATCTACTTCCATAGTGATATCGCCTCGGAAACCCAAGGAGGGGTCAGTATGATTTAGATCTGACTCGATGGCAGTGAGTTTGGTTTTTTGTTTTTAAAGTGTCTCTAAAGGAGGTCAGATGGCATAGTGCCTAAGGCATTTGACTGCTAACCATGACGTTGGTGGTTCAAACCCACCAGCTACTCTGCTGAAGAAAGATGGGGCAATCTACTTCTGTAAAGATTTACTGCCTTGGAAACCCAATGGGGATCGCTATGAGTTGGAATCAATGTCTTTTCTGCTCTTTTTATAAGACATCACTCAGAAAAGATTAGGTTTAGAACTCCACCTACTCTCATTGACAAAGCAAAAGAAAAATATCCACTTCCAAACAAAGCCACACTCATTAGTACAGAGGTTAGGACGTGAACATTTTGGGGGGACACAAATCAATCCATATCACTAATATTTCTGCAGTTTCAGAAACATGCCTTCTTGTTCCAAATAGTATGGCCCTCCTCAGTTGTGGTTAGCTGAGAGATAGTGGAGTAAACACAATTTTCCATGCAATTATATTTTTCTATATGATCAGAACTTTTTATTAAAATCAGTAAACCAAATAAACCTTCCTATATTTAAATTTAATTGAAGATGATATTTAAACACAGATATTTAAAATACCCAATAACTTTTAAGCATTCCACACTCCTTCTCTTAAATTTCTCTAAATCTCAGTGACAGCATATTTAGACTCAAGAACAAGGCAGCCAGCATGGGCAGTTGGACAGTTTTCAGGAGGGCAAAGCTCTGATACA